ATTCAGCACTGAGGAAGCACTTTGTCAAGTTGGATTTGCTCATGGTGCGGAAATTCAACCTGATGTGATACTCCTATCCCAGAAGTTACCCCTCATTGCCAGAAATGGATGCTCAAGCTGGGGCTGCTCCAGAATCTCCTATTCCTTGCCAGTCATGCAACACAACATGACATCAGCTCCATGACTTTACCCTTTCGAGATCCAGTCTTAGAGCCACAGAATTGCTTGACAGTGACATGGCCATTGCCCTGCTGCCAATGCAGGGGGTTGCCAGCCGCAGCATGTACATCACAAATCAATACTGCTGTTGCAATCATATTCCTGACTAGTGCTTTCAGCAGCGAAGGAGACTCAAAAGAAGAAGAAAAAAATCCAACAGTGCAGTAACGGAAGTGTTTCTCAGAGAAGCAGTGCACGCAGAGGAACACCAAATGAAATACACATAACTACTACAAAGGAATGAAATAATGGTCCCTAACTAACAGCTGTCTCCAAAGATTGCTATTTTCTTCTCCCTTTTTTTCTGAGTTAATTCACTGTGTATATTCATATGCCCACATGCCCACTTTGTGGACAGGTGCTGTTCTGAGTGACTGAAGAACAATATCCCACTGTGTTTCACTCAGATACGGGTCTGTTACATTTTACAAAAGCTGCTTTACTACATACAGGTGCATCAACAAGGATAGTCTTGTTTTCCAACCATATGACCCAACCTTTATAAGCTCTTCAGGAATTAGTGATTGCTGATTAAACTAATCTAGGTGAAAGGTATGAAATCAGCTTTCATCCTACAAATCTGTGTGTGAAGAGTAAATCTGAAAGTAAACCACTCTCTAGAAGTAACTGAGAGGTTTGCAACACTGCCTGCCATTAATCTCTGGATATTCCTGTTACAGATAAGACCTGGGCACTGCTGTAAGAAGGTGGATGTAATTCTGGGACTGAAATGCACAGACCTGTCTAATTTCATGGGTGCTTGTGGAGGTCTGTCATAGGCCCCAGAATTAACATTCATTAAGACCTAGTGCCCAGGAGCTGAGGGAATCAGAAGCAAAGCTCCTACATTACCAGCTGCAAAGACAGGCTTTGGCAACAGAGTGGGGCTGGTCCTTCTTTGGACAAAGATGCACGGAGGCGACTCCAGCCCAGACTACCTGAGGCAAGCCCCAACCTTATCCTGCAGACTTTCTTATGCTCCCAACTCTTGTCTTCTTTCTCCCGCAGAGCTTGCAGTGGCCCAGTGCACACAGCGCCCCGTTGACGTTGTCTTCTTGCTTGATGGTTCTGAAAGGATCGGGGAGCAGAATTTCCACAGTGCCCACCACTTTGTGGAGGAGGTGGCCCGACAGCTCACGCTGGCTAGGAGCAACAGCGACAACATGAATGCCCGGATTGCGCTGCTGCAATATGGCAGTGAGAGGGACCAGGATGTGGTCTTCCCACTGACCTACAACCTGACAGAAATCTCCAATGCCCTGGCACAGATCAAGTACCTGGACTCATCCTCCAACATCGGGTCAGCCATCATACATGCCATCAACAACATCGTGCTCAGCCCAGGAGATGGGCAGCGACTCGCCCGGCGTAATGCTGAGCTCTCCTTCGTCTTCATCACTGATGGCATCACAGGAAGCAAGAACCTCGAGGAGGCCATCAACTCCATGAAGAAGCAAGACATCATGCCC